TTAAGAGATCCTTTCTTACCTTTTCACTAGCTACACCAGCATCTTCAAGATCTGAAACTCTGTCTTCACATTCACTTAAACGGTTTTGCAAGGTTGTGATTGAGAGAAACATTTAATTTTTAATTAATTAGTATTTAGTTTTCTGAGTATTGCTTAATCTTAATTTTTGTTTTAAGATTTATACTATATCTTTCACTTACAATTTATTTAAAAGGCATGGTATGATATTTTCTCCTAGTATTACAAACTTTAAAAAGTGTATTTCCATTTTCCATTGACTTTATATTACTTCTTCCCTGTCTTTTGTACACACACACACACACACACACACACACACACACATATGAAAAAATATGTGTGTAACCTGAAATGATTGGTACTGTTTCATAAAAATCTTTAATGACCTTTTATTTTTTTTTTTATTTTTTTGCGGAACCAGGGATTGAACTCAGGCCCTTGCACTTGCCAGGGAAGCGCTTATTCCACTGAGCCATCTCCCCGGCCCAAGTATATATTACAGGGTCTACAGGGTCTCACTACACAGGTCAGATAGTGATCCTGTTTCGTTTTTGTTTTTTCGGGAACCAGGGATTGAACTCAGGGTCTCGTGCTTGCCATGGAAGCGCTTATTCTACTAAGCCATCTCCCCAACCCAATGACCTTTTAAATAAGGGTTCTTCTAATATATTTTATATACTCCTACATAACTATCATTTTGAGAGCTCTTTATTGTTTATCCAGGAACATACTGCAACTTCTTTTGCCTTTTGAATTGTGCTTTTTGTTATTTCCTACATTCTACATCTGGAGATATTAGAATACTTCCAGTTTGTATAACTGGAAAATATTTTACTTTTAGTTTTCAAAGGTATGTTTGCTAAGTATAAAATTCAGAGTAGACGGACTTTTTTCTTTCTTTCAGTCTTTTAATTAGTCTAGTTTCTTACACACTTGGTCTTTTTTTTCTTTCTAATATGGAATAAGATGCTATTTACTTTTGTTTTCCATAGCTAATATTCTTTATGAATGTGCTTTAATGACATTTTTTTACAATAAGTTTTGGACAATTTTATTTTTGTATATCTTGGTATGACTGTATTCAAATTTCTTGCCCAAAAGTTTCATTTTTTTGGAAATGTGATGTTATAAGTTCAATTAAATTCGGAAATTTTAAATCTTTAAATATTTATTGCAGCTCGCGGGGTCTGGCCGCGCCGCGGGCCGTAGCCTTTCTGGAGGCCGCCAGCTGTCATAACGCTCCGCTGCCTGCTGCTGTGGGGCCGGGGCGGATGCCGGGCACGCGGGCTCGCCCCCTGCTCATGCCCAGCAATGGCGCGGGCCGCGGTGGGCTGCACAGCCTGCGCACTCTCTGTCAGTACGCTACAGGACAGGTGACGGCCAGCCAAAGGTCTCTTCTGACAGATGTGATTGCTGCATACCATAGGTTCTGTTCCCGCCCTCCCAAAGGATTTGAAAAATACTTTCTTAATGGAAAGAATGGGAAAAAAGCTAGTGAATCTAAAGAAGTTGCAGGAGAAAAAAAAAAAAAAGAACCCAAATCAGCAACTGCCCCACGCTCTTCTGGGGAAGCAGGTGGCGGTGGAGGAAAACGCCGGGGCAAGAAGGATGATTCCCACTGGTGGTCAAGGTTCCAGAA